CCCGTACCTCACCCCCCAGCCCCCACCCCTGCCCACCCGCCCCACTTCACTACCCCACCCAACCCCACAGCCCTAGCCCACAATCTTGAGAACCTAACCATCACCCCTAACTACCCCAACTGGTTCATGGACACCGGAGCTTCCCACCACATAACTTCTGACCCAGGTACTTTATCTCATGTAATTACTTCAAACATTAATTCTCCCTCGCATATTATTGTTGGTAATGGTTCTAAAGTGAGCACTACCGGTTTTGGTAAGGGCACCCTTCCCACGTCCCCTCTCCTAACTCTAAACAATGTCTTAGTCTCTCCACATATCATACATAATCTCATATCTGTCTGTTAGTTTGCTCGTTATAATAATTGCACTATTGAATTTGACTCATGTGGTTTCTATGTAGAGGACAAATTGACACGAGCCCTGATTCATCAATCCAATAGTGACGGACCTCTTTATCCTATCTCTCAAGCACCGTCCAACGCCCATCTCCATTTGGCCCAAGTCGATCTCTCCACCTGGCATCGTCGGCTTGGACACCCCAGCCCCACTGTTCTCCGTGGCGTGTCATCTTCCTTAGCTAGCTTCCCTAAATCAAAATTAGATTTTTTATGTCATGCATGTCAACTAGGCAAACATGTTCGCCTACCCTTTTCATCGTCAAGTCGTGTTTCAACTTTTCCTTTTCAATTAATGCATACTAATTTATGGCAATCTCCTGTTCCTAGTGTAACTGGTTTTAAATTTTATATGTTTTTATTAGATGATTTTTCCCATTACCTATGGATTTTTCCCCTCCACCACAAATCTAACGCTTACTCACATATTGTTAAGTTTCATGCTCTTGTTAAAAATCAATTTAACACAACCATAAAATCTGTACAATGTGACAATGGCACTGAATATAGAAATAACCCCCTTGTACATTTTTTGAATCTCTGAGAATTCTCTTCTGTTTCTCCTGCCCTTACACGAGCCAACAGAATGGCAATGCAGAACGCACCATCCGCACGATAAATAACACCGTTCGCACCCTTCTATTCCAAGGTAACCTTCCTCCTCACTTTTGGGTAGAAGCCCTACACATAGCTACTCACCTCTTTAATATTCTTCCCACCACCACCCTTAAGAATCACACCCCTCATGAAGCTCTATATCGCACTCCCCCGTCCTACACACACCTCCGCGTCTTCGGATGCCTCTGTTACCCTAATCTCTCTGCTACCGCTCCCCACGAACTCGTCCCACGTTCTGCTCGGTGTATCTTTCTTGGTTATCCAGAGGCCCATCGTGGCTATCCGTGCCTGGACCTTACCACTCATAAGATTATCATCTCCCGTCATGTCACCTTCGATGAGTCATGTTTTCCCTACGCCCCCCAATCCTCTCCCTTTGCGTCT